ATAAATTTAAGTCAAAAATTTCAAACCTGAGTGTCATGATCCTTGGATAAGTTGCCATTTCTGAGACCTTTTTCCAGTCCCACAAGTGCACTCCTTTCAAGTGACAGGCCTGTGCCTCCATTTCTCTTTGAGAGGGGAATCCCCATGAAGCAGCCACTCCCTAAATCTCCAGAATATACCCCTCTGGTTACCAACTGTGATATCTAACGAGCCCAATGAACGTTGCATCTGGAATAGTTTCCCTGTGGTAGTTTGTGGACAGTAATAACATGCAGTGACACAGAAGCAGCATCTTCAAAACGAAATATGATTTATTTGCTGAAAGGTTCACAGCACTTAGCAAAGTGGATTTAAAACAAAGAGACCTATATTCATACTGTCTTACCTACACTTGGCACTCCCTTCAGACCTTAGGAAGACAACTTACCCTTCGCGCCCCCATTCTGTTGTGGACTAAATTATAGGCTGCTTGCTGCAGACCCTGATTCTCTGTCAGACTTGGTGTCTTCTTGCGTACCTGTCAGCACTCACTGACACTCCCTAGGCAGCCTCTCAATGCACTCAAACATTATGCCTTTTCTAGGCTCAGAATCATGTAATGGTTTAGTATTTTCCTTTGATCTGAGGCTTAGCCTTGGGAAGAGCAAACCATTTTAGCCTTGAGGAAGGCAGGGAGCGGGGATATTCCCCAACTTACAGCTGCCCCATTGTTTCCTCAAGCTCTAACAACCCCCTTTTGAGCTAAACACATTGCAAATAATCCATCATACACAAACACACAGAGCTACGCATAATATTTGTAAAAAATAATACAAATATTTTCCTGTTTGTCAACAATCTGTTCCACCTTGGATTTAGCTGTGATGCTGGGAGTACCTTTCCCAGACCCGAAGAAGAGCTCCGTTGGCTCAAAAGTTTGTCTCTCTCACCAATAGATGTTGGGCCAATAAAAGATATTACCGTACCCACAATGAGTATCTAACATTAGGCACCCAAATCCATATTTAGGCACCTAACTAAAAATGGCTTGATCTTCAGAGATACTAAGCACCCATCATTCATAGTGGGCCAGATCCTCAGCTGCTGTAACTCGGCAAAAATCAATGGAGCTTCATCTGCTTACACCAGTTGAAGATCTGACTCCATTGTTTTTAGTGGGAGTTGCAGATGCTCGGAACTTCTGAAAATCAGATCCCTTTCAGTTGGAATGCATAGCTTTAGGCACCCAAGTTCGAAGAGTTAGGCCTTATTGTGTACCTGATTTTAACCAGCCATTGTCTACAAAACTTTTATGGCAACTAGAGTGATGTGGCCTTAGAAGGGATGGCTGGCAGTGTTCTGCCTTACCAGCTGAAGGCAAAAAGTTGCAATAATTGCTGCTAACAGGGACAGTAGTAGAGAAAAATGCAGCACTTGAGATAGAAAAGAAAGGCATTCAGAGAAAAAACAAAAAGCATCCAGTGACACATATATTCAGTGGAGCTTTTTAATGGTGTACTTATGGCCCAGTCCATTTAACATTGTAGTCAATGGAAACAGTCTCATTGACTTAAACAGGAGTTGATCAAGCACTGAGCTTTCAGGAATAATCATATCCAATATGTTAAAGTTCCTGGTACTTCTATCCAGAATGATAATTGCTACCTCCATTATGTGCAATGACTTAACAGAAGGGTTTTTTCCCCCTTATCTTTAAGGCACTGGAGGGAATAGTCCTTAGAACAAAGTGGAGGGCTAGGAAACAGCTATCACTGATGGCTTGAGAGACCCTAGGCTGGAGAGACCAAGAGTAAAGGTAGCACTCTTTTTCCACCACCAACTGAATGTTGCTGATGCCCTATGAACTCTCTTGGCTCCTGCAAACTAGATTTTTAACCACTGTCCCAAGGCCACTGGGCCCAGAGATCAGGTAAACTACATTTGCTAATATTTAACTTTTATACCAGTGGTTCTCAAACCTTTGTACCGATGACCCCTTTCACATAGCAAGCCTCTGAGTGCGACCCCCCCCTTATAAATTAAAAACACGTTTTTATATATTTAACACCATTATAAATGCTGAATGCAAAGCGGGGCTTGGGGTTGAGGCTGACAGCTCACGACCCCCCATGTAATAACCTCGCGACCCCCTGAGGGGTCCCGACCCCCAGTTTGAGAACCCCTGTTTTATACTAACCCTGCTGAGGGTGAAAGAAACCCAGTATAACCTGTACTGTGTTAATGCAAGCTCTAGTATTATTGCACTTACCACTTTCTAGTTATTTTCACTAAGCAAGTTGGAGCATAGTTTTGGTCTTAGAATCATAGAATCATAGGACTGGAGGGGACCTTGAGAGGTCATTTAGTCCAATCCCCTGCACTCATGGCAGGACTAAGTATTTCTAGACCATCCCTGACAAGTATTTCTCTAACCTGCTCTTAAAAATCTCCAATGATGGAGATTGCACAACCTCTTTAAGCAATTTATTTTAGTGCTTGACTACCCTGACAGTTAGGAAGTTTTTCCTAATATTCAACCTAAACCGCCCTTGCTGTAATTTAAGCCCATTGCTTCTTGTCCTATCCTGAGAAGTTAAGGAGAACAATTTTTCTCCTTCCTCCTTATATCAACCTTTTATATACTTGAAAACTGTTATCAGGTACCCTCTCAGTCTTCTCTTCTCCAGACTAAACAAACCCAATTTTGTCAATCTTCCCTCATAGGTCATGTTTTCTAGACCTTTAATCATTTTTTATTTTCTTCTCTAGACTTTCTCCAATTTATCCACATGTTTTCTGAAATGTGGCACCCAGAACTGGACACAATATTCCAGTTGAGGCTTAATCAGCGCAGAGTGGAGTAGAAGAATTACTTCTCTTGGCTTGCTGACAACACTCCTGCTAATACATGTCAATCAATTGTTATCACAACATACCTGAAAATATTTTTACAGTTATTGCTAGTTAATTAACTTTTTATCTTAAAATATGAATGTATTTGTTTCCTTTTTAAAGGTCACAATAGTGTTTCAGTTTAATTTCATGCAAGAAAGCATTAGGAAGAACATCAAAGCAAGCTCTCTTAAAATAGGAAGATGTACTAATTATTAGCCTAAGAAGAACTCAGCATATCTCAGAAGGGAAAAGTGGGGAGAGATGCACGGAAGTGGCCTTAAACCACTTGTACAATTCGTTGCCCTGGTCCTACTAAAGCTGTGCATGCTATAGATGTGTTAGGCGCCTGAAAACCTGAAATAGACATCATGGCTAGAGATGAAAGATGGCATGGGGGCAGTGGCATGAGACAATGCAGAGAGGGCATTGTGGCTATCGACAGCGGCACAGCAAGAGATGATTCAGAGGCAGTGGCAAGGTGTCTCTTCACAGAAGCCACTCAGCACTTATCCCTAAGGGCTGGGGCTGGAGCTGCCCAAGTGCACTCCTGGGCTCTGAAACTTCACTAACCACTGACAAACTAAGTGGGGTGCACCAAAGGGGAAGAGAGGGGAGTGAGGTATAGCAGGAACAATTGTCCACTGGATGTTCCCATTAGTAGGTGGGGAAACTGAGGCAAAGGACTACTGCCCAAGATATTGTGCGGGTGAGTGTTTTACATACTCTCTGTATGTAAATCAACATACAGTTGATGTATTGGTGTTGTGTTTTCCCAGATTAATACTGTGGTTCTTTTCCCCTTAATAAAGTTTTCTTTGTTTTCTCACAAGTGCTGAGTCTGTGTAGAGGGTAAGTATTGCCCCAGGGAAGGTATTTCATTTTTTTCAAGTTTCTGGGTTGGGACTCAAGCCAGTGGTGTTTGTTAATTTTAAGAGGAATCCCTTGATATTTGAACCCACCCCTTTTTGCTCCTGACAACACCTGGCAGAAGGGTTACAACTGCCAACTTTTCTGCATAATACAGCAAAATGGCACGTCTGGAGGGACACCCCAGAATAAGGAAAATGTTTGCAGTCTGGAACTGGGTTACCACACCCAAAGGGGAGAAGGGAAGAAAGCCAGCTGCAGATACTGAGCAGAAACGGTAAGTCTATAAACCCTGGAAACACTCTTAGAAGTAAAATGGATTCAGTCTACTGGGCTCAATACTATTTACACATTCAAGTGCATTATTAGTTAAGCATTTGTCTCATTGCTTCCACAATAAATTCAGCTAGTGTCAGTGTCAGGAATGAATGAGCGCACAGCAATTTTAGAGAGAATCCTTAGTTTTCAAGTCAACAAATTGCAGTGGTTCTACTTAATCCATCAAAAAGGGAAGAGAGAAGAGTCTGGCAGCCAGGCAGGAAGAAATAAAAGTCAAGAGGGTAATGTTCCAGCTATTTTAGGAACCATTTACTCTATGAAATTGACTGCATTTAAGAACAGTTGTTGAACATGTTTGGGGAACAGCTGTGTTATTACAAAACATAAGGGTCTAGGATGTGTCTAGCCCTGTGTGGCTGCACTAGGGTGAGCGGTGGGGCAAAGGAGGATTTCCCTTCCCTCTCCCTTAAAGCCACAGTCCCAGTCCTTGAGCAAAGTCTGGGAAAGTCTAATTCTGGAGTCAGCACTAGAAACCCCGAAGTACAGAAGGAAGCACCAGTCTGTAAGCTGAGCTGTGAGCTGCAACCTGTTTAAAATGTGTGCTGTAGCAGTTGCCACAGCTGTGTGCAACCCTCCTCCAGTACTCCGGGAGGCATTATGCCTGCCTGAGGCAAAATGCTCTGGGGAGCTGCCATGAGTGCCAAGTATCACCTCGCTTCCCTGTGGCTCAAAAGCCACTAAATATTAATATTAATAGCAATGTTTTCATAACCTTTATTTAACTCTCCATGAAAAGTCTCTTTATTTAACAGAAAACTGCAAAAATTAGGTATAATCCCTTAGATAGCTAGATCAATCTTTGCTAAATAAGACTACGTAATATGGATCATAAACATGAATTTATGCCAGTTATTAGAAATACCTGCCATTGTTTAAGTATCTGTACTCAGGGACTGGAGCTGTGGTGCTCTCTCTCTGCAGGGGCTGCCATTTTGCTGATGGTGCAGATGGGACCTCCTGCTGAGAAGTAAATTGAGAATAAGGAAATGCAGCTCATCGTGGGATGATATGAGAAAGAGACCATCAAAGTCACTGTAAGGTATGTTTTATTCCTTTAAAAAAGAGCTTGCTGACATCTCTAGCTCACCTATCAAAACCTTCATGTCAAACCTGACCAGTATAAAATATTTCATTGTCTGTCAGTCTTTGTGTGATGTATCTAAACAATCTTTGTTATTCCTCGTAATTCTGTGTCTTTTATTTGTACTACAGCTACTGTCCCTCTTCTAGTGTCACACATGGAACACAATTAATCATATCGTTGACAATTTCTGAAAATACTTGTTAAAAATAATTTGGTTAGCTTAATACTATAGGAAGGTTAAAATATAGAATTGACCTTAATTTGAGAGTGGTTTTCATAATCAGCGCTTCTTTTGTGTTTATAGTTACTGCAATTGCTTGCACTAGTTGTGCCTTTGCACATGAAAGTTATTTACTCACTTGTGTCCACAGAGGTTCAGTTTTGACACTAGTGCATGCAAAAGGGCATTCAAATATGCACAGAATTCAGACCTTAGTTTATGAAACTTGTGGACTGAAAATCTGCTCTACAGGAAATGCATTTCATCTTTGTATCAATCTATAAGATGAGACTGTTGAAATGGCATCTTCCAATTTGTCTTAGAATTATTCTTTATTGTATTTAAGATTATAAATACTGGTTCACTCTTTTATTGTATTAGTTATAGTGACTAGAACATCTTTAGATCATAGATTTAATTTCAATATTTCCTTACAATGCTGAAATCCAAAACACACAAAACACTATGTTAGCTTAGGAGAACCAGCAAGTGGAAGAAGAGAGATAGATAAGAAACAGACAGACCAGAGCAGTCTAGTTTTGCTGGTCCAAGGTCAGTGAAATGAAGGAAATAAACAGCATAAGTGTTGAAAATAAAATAGATTTTAAAAATCCTTTCATTTTTTAATAATGAGGTGTTAGCACAGGTAAGGATTTAAATAGGATTATGATGACACTATTCCTTTAAATTAAGTGTTCTGCAGATTTCTTGTAGCATGGCTCTTTCTGGGTGAATAACGGGATGAAGAAAGCACCTGGAGTCTTAATAGCAACGAGGCTAGATTTAGATAACATGGGATTGCTTGCTATGTGTTGAACTATTTGTGGCATTCATTTTTGTATCTCACATATCTATTTGTCCATAATGGTCTTGGGAGGAACATGGGGAGTAAAATTCCCTGGATATGGTGGTCCTCTCAATTTCATAGGCTAAAAACTATCTAGTTTATGTAAATGTTTGGTTTTGTAAGAATTCCAGACTTAGGCGTACGTTACCACTTTCTTTTGCTAGCAGCCCCACAGATGTCTGTAGGGAT